TGTTTATAACGGGGTGCAATGATTGGTGTAAGATATGACGTTAAATACCCTATACAACCAACCAAACTTTTCCCACAAAAGAGGAGGGGGGGGCCTGGATCCGCCTATTGTATATAACGGGTTATAAATTAAGTTTGATGTAAGATGTTACGGTGTTGTTAGTTGTAAATAACGGGGTATGATGATGGATGTTAGATGTGGTGGTGTGATACTCTGTATATAAAGGGGTACAAGGATAGATGTTAGATGTGGCGGAGTAATACTCTGTATATAAAGGGGTACAAGGATAGATGTTAGATGTGGCGGAGTAATACTCTGTATCTAAAAGGGTACAAGGATGGATGTTAGATGTGGCGGTGTGATACTCTGTATATAAAGGGGTACAAGGATAGATGTTAGATGTGGCGGAGTGATACTCTGTATATAAAGGGGTACAAGGATAGATGTTAGATGTGGCGGAGTGATACTCTGTATATAAATGGGTAGAAGGATAGATGTTAGTTGTGGCGGTATAAAACTCTGTATATAAAGGGGTATAAGTCTTGATGTGAGATGTGACGGTATGGTACTCTGTATATAAAGGGGTACAAGGATAGATGTAAGATGTGGTGGTGTGATACTCTGTATATAAATGGGTACAAGGATGGATGTTAGATGTGGCGGTGTGATACTCTGTATATACAGGGATACACGAATGGATGTTAGATGTGGTGGTGTGATACTCTGTATATAAAGGGGTACAAGGATAGATGTTAGATGTGGCGGCGTGATACTCTGTATATAAATGGGTACAAGGATGGATGTAAGATGTGGCGGTGTGATACTCTATATATAAAGGGGTACAAGGATAGATGTTAGTTGTGGTGGTGTGATACTCTGTATATAAAGGGGTACAAGGATAGATGTTAGATGTGGCGGAGTAATACTCTGTATCTAAAGGGGTACAAGGATGGATGTTAGATGTTGCGGTATGATACATTGTATATAAAGGGGTACACGGATAGATGTTAGATGTGGTGGTGTGATACTCTGTATATAAAGGGGTACAAAGATGGATGTTAGATGTGGCGGTGTGATAGTCTGTATATAAAGGGGTACAAGGATGGATGTTATATGTGGCAGAGTGATAGTCTGTAAATAAAGGGGTACAAGGATTGATGTTAGATGTGGTGGTGTGATACCCTGTATATAGAGGGGTACAAGGATTGATGTTAGATGTGGCGGTAATATACACTGTATATAAAGGGGTACAAGGATGGATGTTAGATGTGGCGGTGTGATACTCTGTATATAGAGGGGTACAAGGATAGATGTTAGATGTGGCGGAGTAATACTCTGTATCTAAAAGGGTACAAGGATGGATGTTAGATGTGGCGGTGTGATACTCTGTATATAAAGGGGTACAAGGATGGATGTTAGATGTGGTGATGTGATACTCTATATATAGGGGTACAAGGATGGATGTTAGATGTGGTGGTATGATACTCTGTATATAAAGGGGTACAAGGATGGATGTTAGATGTGGCGGTATGATACTCTGAATATAGAGGGGTACAAGGATGGATGTAAGATGTAGCGGTGTGATACTCTGTATATAAAAGGGTTTCAAGGATGGATGTTAGATGTGGCGGTGTGATACTCTGTATATAAATGGGTACAAGGATTGATGTTAGATGTGGCGGTGTGATACTCTGTATATAAAGGGGTACAAGGATAGATGTTAGATGTGGCGGTGTGATTCTCTGTATATAAAGGGGTACAAGGATGGATGTTAGATGTGGTGATGTGATACTCTGTATATAAAGGTGTACAAGGATAGATGTTAGATGTGGTGGCGTGATATTCTGTAAATAAATGGGTACAAGGATGGATGGAAGATGTGGCGGTGTGATACTCTGTATATAAAGGGGTACAAGGATGGATGTTAGATTTGGTGTTGTGATACTCTGTATATAAAGGGGTACAAGGACAGATGTTAGATGTGGCGGTGTAGTTAGTTGTATATAACGGGGTACAATGACAAATATGATATGTGACAGTGACAGAAGTTGTATATAAAGGGGTACAATGACGGATGTAAGTTGTGTAACTGTGTAGTAATTTGTATATAACGTGGTACAATGGCGAATATAAGATGTGACACTGCTGTAAGGTTACAATGATGGATGTAAGATGTGACGGTGTAGTAAGTTGTATATAACGGCGAACAAGGATGGATGTGATGTGACGGTGTTATAAGTTGTATATAGCGGTGTTCAAGGATGAATGTAAGATGTGACGGTGTGATAAGTTGTATATAACGGTGTACAAGGATGGATGTTAGATGTTAGATGTTACGGTGTTATAAGTTGTATATAATCGGGTACAAGGATGGATGTAAGATGTGACGGTGTAATAAGTTGTATATAACGGGGTACAATGACAAATATAAGATGTGACCCTGTTGTAAGGGTACAATCATGACAAATATAAGATTTGACACTGTTGTACAGGTACAATGTCATTTGGTGTCTTGTGGAGAGTTGTCTCATTGGCAATAATAACACATCTTCTAATTTTTATATTCATAGTAAATATTACTAAATAACTATCTAATCTTGTTCGAATTTTAAACACATGACGTTGTATGTATGTACACATGCCTAGCACAATGGTAACTAATTACGATATGAACGCACATGCAAGCTCTTAATATATACGAGTACAGTCCTTAAATCTAAGTGAATCATGATATGGATGCTCGGGTTTGTATAGCTACGGTTTAAAGCAGAGAACATGTCTGGGTATGATAAAGATCATTATAGGATTAAACTCATTTTTTCTAGAGGTTATTGATGTGTAAACTTGATTGATTAACTCACAAAATGATTTTTTTAGTTTGTGAGTCATCGACACAGTTCACACATCAATAACCTCTAGAAAAAATGTGTTTTAGGGGGTACCCAACACTTTCACTAAAATCGATTTGGCTCGTTTAATTTTCATGAAATTTTGATAAAATAGTTTCTTGGACCTGTTGATAGAAATATAAAAATTTCAAGAAATTTGAACCAAACAATTTACAGGAATAATTTCATTAGATTATAGCAGTTTGACAAACACTAATTTTGATCATTGAGAACTTTACTAATAGTATATGATTAAAACGTTCAGCTGATTTTTAAAGAGTTAACTCCCATTAAGTGTTTGGTACCCCCTTAATCCTTATAATTCTAAATCGGAACGTTATTTATTATTTCTTTTGATTTCAATTTCTTTACAATGCATCGTAAGAAGTTTCACCAACATAGTTTATCGAAGTGTAAACCTAGGAAAGAAACTTTAACGGACCAATCAAATTCAAGTATTTTGTTGATAAGCAAATCATATAATAAGAATCAGCACACCGTGCAACCGAATTGTCATGATTCAATTTAAAAAAACGTCGAACAAGGTCACAAACCGACGTTTTGCTAAATATGGTAAAAATTAGTTATGTCTATATACAAATCTAAGAGTCTTTTAACTATTTGTGTATAACAAACAACGCATTAATGATTATGCTATCTCATAATGTTATATGAATAAGATGTAAGCTGTGGTATTATTTAGGACGAAGAATTCCGGATGAAACATATAAGACCATATACCCAATTACGCGAAAAGAATCATTATTAACCTTATACGAAAACATATCTCCATTGCAAATGTATGTCAACGTTATAGGAATACATGTCTACTTATAACGTTACATGAATACATGTCTACTCATAACGTTATATGAATACATGTCTACTCATAACGTTATATGAATACATGTCTACTCATAATGTTATATGAATGTATGTCTGAATTGCAAATGTATGTCAACTCATAACGTTATATGATTACATGTCTGCATGAATTGCAAGTGTATTGTCAACACATAACGGTATGGAAGTATAGGTTTGAAAAAATCTAAAAACAATACGAATTCATATCAACATTGCAATAGTCCACAACCCATAACGCCTATTCAACAACAAATTATGCTACTGCAAGTTGAAAGCATAATGCAAGTTGAAAATATAATGTGTTTTTAATTCATGTGTATCAATTTTTGTGGTTTGAGCAAAAGTTTCTCGAAAGATTCTTTAAAATAATCATATGTTGTTTTATGATGATTTGTGGGAGATTGCAAAATAAGTTGTTCATTTTCACTTCAGAATATAAGCTGATTTGTCTATGCTTACAAATTGTCTCAATTGAAAGAAATTGCAAAGTAAACATTTCAATTGTTGCACACGTGTAATCAGATGTGATGACCCTTATTAAACTGAGATCTAATGATCAACAGATTAACAATTATCAAAGTTTTTTAATTGGGCCATAAACATGTCACTTAAAGAAAATGGTTACATAAAAAAATGCTACAAATGTAATGGAATCTACTGACAGAATATTTACCAGGCGTTGGTTCACTTGTGTTTAAATGTAATTTGAGTTGTAGAATTAATTCTTATGAAATAAAAAAGCAAGCCCAAGATGAATTTAAAAAAAAATTTTCATAAGAGAATTATGAGGAGATAAAATGAATACCTCATCATGTCATATCGTCAACGGAATTCTGACTTTCATCGATCAAAACTAATTTTTCATGATAATTAAAAGGTTAAAAGTCATACAGTTTAGGTTTTTTTAAAGATTAAATGGGTAAAATCCTGTCTGAAGTTTTTCATAGTGCATTTAAGGGATATTTGATGTATTTTCTAGATTATATGCCCGTATCCATGTAGTCAAACCTACATGAGGATCTTTCCATGTCTTGATTTGGAAAATAGTTGTTATTTATGCAGACACTTAAATTAATGGACAAAGTCATCCACGAAAACCACAAAAATTGGTACCCCACAAATAAAAGTACTTTCACAGTAGAACTAAATACACACTCAATCTGTAAGTTATCATTATGCATTAACATTTTTGAATATAGAACAAGTTTTATAAATGCATTTTAAATTTCTACCAATATTTTTATATAGGTACCATTTTGAATTTGATAGAAAGGTATGAAGGAGTGTTAAGAAAGTCACGGAGGAAACCAAATATGAACTTATTTGAATATATTGTCAAAGTTTTTGATGGATCTCTAGAAAACACTGATAGTGAACCTGACTCTCCTGCTATTGAAAGAGAAATGTCACGGGAAATGTTGTACAGTAAGGAATCTTGCATGGGTGAAGAAGCTGTTTCAAAGAACTCAGTGAAGCGACAGTTATCTGAAGATTACAAAGCTACCACACCTTAGGTAAAGGAAAAAGAAGACATATATGAACAAATCATTAGGCTTCTAAGTTTGCAACATATGAGCTGCTTGAATATATTATAAAACTATTTTGACATTCAGTTTGGGATACTCGAAAGAAAAGCTGCACATAAGAGATGATGCTTTGGTATTAAAATTGTTCAAAGGAAACAATATAAGAAACTGGAGAAGTTTTTAGAAATCCCTTACAATCTGATGTTCTGTCATGTCATTTCTTATAATTCTAATCAAGACAAAAACTTTTTTAATTAGTTATGCCCCCTCCGTAGCGGAGGGGGCATTAAGTTTTACCCTTGACCGTCTGTACATCCTTTCGTCCCAAAATTGGTTTCCGTTCACTAACTTTAGTTTGCCTCAATCAAATGTTATGAAACTTATCCACAATGCTTATTACCACAAAAGACAGATCGAGTATGCATTTTGGTGGCATCACTTTTACCGTTCGAGAGTTATGCCCCTTTACAAATGGAAAAATTGCTGAATTTTTCCTTTCCCTTCTCTAACTTTAGTTTGCCTCAACCAAATGTTATGAAACTTATCCACAATGTTTATTACCACAAAAAACAGATCAAGTTTGAATTTTGGTGGTGTCACTTTCACCGTTCTAAAGTTATGCCCCTTTACAAATGGAAAAATCGCTGAATTTTTCTTTTCTGTTCTCTAATTTAAGTTTACGTCAACTAAATGTTATGAAACTTATAAACAATGCTAATTACCACAAAACTCAGATCAAGTTCAAATTTGGGTAGTGTCACTTTTACGGTTCTTGAGTTATGGCCCTTTATAACGTTATATGCAAGCGGGGGCATCATCTGTGTCCCATGGACACATTCCCCATTTATTGTTGAATTATTTAGTCAAGAAATTTTATGATGATTATCTAACAAAGCTGAAAAATGATATTATGTTAGATTGGTTCATGGTTTTTATTGATATAAACTTAAAAGATGGAAAACAATTGAACAAGAATGTTCTTTGATCCTATTGTAGAAGTAAAGACTAATTTTCATGTTAAGTTAATGTCTTTTTTCCATCCTTGTCAACTGATAAATTTATTGTCAAGTTCATTTATGTATGAACACTCTTTGTTATTAGGTTACATATAGACTATTTAACTGGTTCATAGATACTTGATTTTAATCAACATAGTGGATTGGATAAATAAAAGGATTTTGTCTTTGCATCAGTCTATCTGCTTTCTTTTTGTTTATGTGAGAAGTTAAGTGAAAATGATTTGATTCAATTTTTTAAAACTACTCTTTATCTCTTCATATTGGTTTAATCTGGTTCTAGAACTTTGGTGTTGTTGGAGCATTCCAGAAATATCTATAGATATTGTATGAGGCAGGGGCCAGTGTTAAGATTATTTTCAGTCATTACGATCAGTAATTCTTATGTAATTTTCTTGCAATGAAATAATGCAATATATTATATAAAAAAAACCATTTGATAAGTACTGCTATGTTTGCTTGTAACTGATCATCTCTTTATTTAATTTTGATATGGCAGCTATTAACTTACTATCAGTTTATATAATTGATAACTATCTTTTTTTGTTATAAGTGGTACTAGTTATCTATTTGCAATTTGAATGGAGAAGATATGGTATGATTTGGGGCTTTTTTGCACTGTTAATTTCACTGAAAATAAAACATATGAGATCATTACTTATCACATTTTTGAAGAAGAAAGACTTTAAAAAAAATTGAATATATACCAAGCCTTTGATGACACAATTTGCCTGTGACATCATAAAAGTGACTTTATAAGTAAAATTTTCAGTTTTTTGCAAAAAATACAAACAAAATTTTACAAACATTTTGGCTAAATTAATATAAAACATATGGTTAAGTATTGTGAAAATATGTGTATAAATGTGCCTTCTACAGTTCCCCATATGATAGAATATGAAGCATTCTTGGTTATGTATTCAAAAGCTTTCATTAAAATGTTGTGATTGGCTAACAACATCCAAATCAATGGATATTCAACCAATGATGTGATGTTATTTTTATTTCGGTGCACTTACAATGAGATTACCCATAATCCTTTAGATTCTGAAAAGACATATTTGATGATGGAAAAGTAAAATTGTCAGATCTGATGAATGTTTAAAAAAAATACCATAGACTGAATTCCCCTTTTCAATTTGAAGAGTTTTATAAATGAGCTTTATATGGCAATGAAAATTTTTCATTTTTTGAAATGAATAATTTTAAAACAACATTAAAAATGACTTGATGACAAACTGTTTTATAATTTTAATTGTAAATATTTATTTGTAGATAATATTTTTGTTTGTAATTTTAATTTATTATACTACACTGTAGAAGGTCAGTGCTGTGAAAATGTTGATATGGTTGTGTCAAGAAACTTATTGGTTATCATGATCAAGATATATATATTAAGATAAGTTTTCTTACTGTATTAGTGTGCATAAAATGTTATTCATGATGAAATGAATGAAAAGAAATGTCATTATTTTATATTCTATAAAAGGTTTTTTTATTTGTGGATGCCAAGTTTCATAGTTTATTGAACATCACTATTGTTTCATTGGTTCCTTGTCAAATTGACATAAAATACTTCAATAGTCCCTGTTTTGTGGAAAATTTGATCAACTAAGAAAATAATTAAGATGGGTTCCCTAGGAATAGGATATAATATGTCCCACTGTAATTATTGTGTCTCATGACAGTTGATGTTTAGGGATACAGAGGAATAAATCAAAGTGCTTTGTCTTAGTGTCTGTCCTGTCTGTCTGTAATTACTTCTGCTGTCTCGCATCATCTTTGTCTTCCGTGTCACACTGTTAGTTTTTCTGCATCTCTGTAACAGAATTCCACTAAACATGCATAGATTTGTGTAATTAAGTATTGAATCCTTTGTATGTTTTTATATCTATGGGATATTGTTAAGGTAGTTTGAGAGTCTTCCGCCATCTTGGATTGTAAAATAGAAGAACACAATCGGTTTAGATCTTTAATTAAAAGTGCAAATTTTGTGAGACGAATGCAATTCTTTTGTTAGTCTTTTCATCTTAATGAAAAAAAATATGTGTTTTATTATATTTTCTCAACAGTTTTTTACAAATACAAAGTATTTTTTGTTTTTGATTCAATTTGTTACAACTTTGTCATATAAGGGGAGATAACTCTGATAATGTACTTTTTATAAAGTAATATATTATGAATTTAGGTATTTTGTTTTGTATCGAGAAAAACAAGTGCCATGACCCCAATTTTTATTTTTATTTTCTGAAAGCACATTATAAGAGCTATCTTCTCATAAATTTAATTTAAAAATTTGATTGTTTAGTTTTCTTTTTATCGCAAAAGATTAGGTTTTCCATGTATAATCTATACAAAATCTGACAATTTTGCACAACCTGTAGCTTGATAAAAAGCCCTGTGACCCATACTTTTTATTTTGTTTTTGAAAAAAGATTACTTCAAACTGCATTTTTACACATAATTAGAAAATTCTATCGATTTTAATTTATACCCCCATCTACCTTAAGAGTATATTTAATCTAATTTTTAGTATTGACTGAGATATAATAAGTAGTATGTATGCACTAAGGTGTAAATTAATTCATTTGAATGAAAGATGTACAATCAACACTTGTAAGTTTTTTCAAAGAAATGCAATACAGACATATGTAATAGTGCTAACTCTTACAATAAATCAACCTGTTCAATGATTTAATTTTTTATTTAGTTGATGCCACATTCTTTTAAATATATTTGTTAAATTGAACATTTGTCAGTTATCAATATTCCTGGCGAATAGTTAATAGAGTCAATGCCTTATATATATAATTAAGTTATTGTGTCTCATAACAGTAGAGCTGTAGGGACATAAAGGGATTACTTCTGCTGTCTTCAATGATACACTTTATGTTTTTCTGCATCTCCTTGACAGAATTCCCAAAACCTGCAGATTCATCTACAGGACTTGAAGTTGTGCACCTACTGTTTGAAATTTTAACCATACTGATTTTGAGGTCTTTAAAAGATTTTTAATTTGCTTTTGGTATGTGGTCAAATTTTTTTCCAACTCTAGAAAAATCAGGAACTAAATGATAAATCATATCCCTCTATGCTGAAAAGTGGATTATTAGATAATGGGTCACATCCCAAACTCATGCTCCCAATTTTCAGTCGCCTCACCCTTAGTTCTCAGATCTTCATTGTATCCTATCAACAATGCATCCTTTGTGAGTTTGTATTAAACAAGCATGCATTTGTTTGCACCTGTCCTAAGTCAGGAACCTGATGTTCAGTGGTTGTCGTTTGTTGATGTGGTTCATAAGTGTTTCTCGTTTCTCGTTTTTTATATAGATTAGATGTTTGGTTTTCCTGTTTGAATTGTTTTACAGTAGTCATTTTGGGGCCCTTTATAGCTTGCTGTAGGGTGTGAGCAAAGGCTCCATGTTGAAGGCCGATCTTTGACCTATAATTGTCAACTTTTTATACATTGTGACTTGGATGGAGAATTGTCTCATTGGCACTCATACCACATCTTCTTATTTCTATGTGTAACATCGGACTTGGACTTTTAAGCTGAGTTTTACTGTGCATATTATTGTGTGTTTTTTTATTCCACATTGGCTAGAGGTATAGGGGAGGGTTGAGAGCTCACAAAACTTGTTTAATCCCGCCACATTTTTTTGCCTGTCCTAAGTCAGGAGCCTCGGCCTTTGTTAGTCATGTATGTTTTTTTAACTTTAGTTCATTTACTGAACTAGTATACATTATTGTTTAGGGGCTGGCTGAAGCCTGCCTTCCGGGTGCGTGATTTTCTTGCTGCGTTGAAGACCCATTGGTTGCCTTGGGATGTTTTCTGCTCTCTGGTCGGGTTGTTGTCTCTTTGACACATTCCCAGTTTCCATTCTCAATTTTATTCTGAGCATATTGCATATACAATAAAATGTACCCTTCTGACTTGAACATTGGATGAGATTACACTCATATGGAACAAGCATACCATATGAAAGGAGGTCTGCTGAATTTTCATGGTAAGAGATGTCGTTTATATAGATAGAAATATCTGTATTATCAATAATCAAGTCAGAATATTTATCATAAAATGGATCATGTTTTTTCTTCCTAAAAAAACGGATATATTCAAGCAATTTTCTATTTTCAAGGGACACAACTTCTGCAAAAATTGCTCAACCAGAACTAGTGAAACTAAAAAATGTGTAACTCATTATGATGTGATTATATACCAAATACCTAATCAAATGATTCAGACATTTAACAGAAAGTGTAAATAAACTGTTGACACAGAGATATGTCTCGCTTTTTGCAATTTTGATAATATAATGCAAATTGAAATTATAATAAAATGGCAATATTTAAAAATGTAAACTATGCAAATCATCCAAAGTCAATGAACCTTGACTGAAAGTGCAGAGCCTATAAACCTCCATGGAAATGAGAAATGCCAATGCTTATAAAACTGCATACCAAATACCATTGACTTATCATAAGTCGTTCCCTTTAAACAACACTAAACACAAACTTTTAACACGTAAACAATGCAAAACATTCAAAGTTAATAGACCCTGACTGAAGGGGCAGGACCAAATAATCTTCATGGATATGAAATTTGCCAATACTTATACAACTGCATACCAAATATCATTGACCAACTACAAGTGGTTCCCCATAAAGTGACCTAATCACAAACTAATACATTGTTGCAGCAGCATCACAAAGTGCAGAAAATTGATATTTATAAGCAATTTCTATGTCCTTGATCCACAACTTTTGGAAAATCACTCAACTGTAATACAACTCAATCTTGATCTGTAACTTCTAATTATTTCCACATTCAAATATTGTACATTTTTAAAGTAAAATGAGATTTTATGAAATAAATACTTACCATCATAAATTCTGAGTATGTCCATCTGCACAAGTCTGACAGTGGACCCCCCCCCCCCCCCCCCCAAAAAAAAAAAAATAACAGCCAATGAAAACAAGGGATGACCTATGTCCATAAAATCCTGCCTTTATATCATCCATTTAATGTCCTAAAGTAAGCAAGAAGCCCTAGGAACAAATCTGGGGATAAGGGGACGTTGGGAGGGGCCTTTAATTTATGATGGTAAGTATTTATTTTATAAAATCTCATTTTACTTTAAAATTGTACAGTTTTATATCAATAAATACGCTACCATCATAAATTCTGAGTAAAATGCAGAATCTAACGCAAAGCTGAACCTCCTGAACCAGAAGGTGCAGGAGGAAAAACAACTCTTTGTGCAGACACTAAAGGTCCTAAAGAATACAAAGTTTGAGCTTGTGAAGATAAAGATTGCAGATAGTGAGAAATGAAAGAATTTTCAGTTATCCAGAAACCTGCAGATAGAACTTCCTCCAAAGAAGCATTATCGAAAAGTGTCAAGGAGGTAGAAATAGCTCTTACATCATGAGCCTTAACGTGCATACTATTCAGAAGTTCTTCATTAGAAGAATTGTAAGATAATTGAATAGTTTCAAAGATCCAAGTTGAAATGGTTTTAGCAGACAAATCTTGTTTCCCCTAATTAACAGGAATAAATATCCTGGAATTTTGAAGAGGTGCGAAGACTACGAGTTCTCTGAAGATATAAAAGTAAGCTTAGGATAGAAAAGAGTACCTTTGACCTTGAATCATCAGGAAGGGCTTGAATCACTATCGGTTCTGAACCTGGGCCAGGAATTTGATTTTTGGCGAAAAAGGCTGGATCGGTTAGGAGAGTAACAGAAGACTTATCCCTATTAAAAAAAGACAGTAGTCGGCTGTGGAAAAAGCATGAATTTAACTTCTTCTTCTACCACAAGCCAAGGCAAGAAGAAAACAACACTTTTACGATAAGAACATGATTTCAACCTTTTCGGCGGGTTCAAAAGGATGGGTTTTTGAAACAAATAAAATCACACTCAAATTCCAATAAAATTGAGAATGGAACTGGGGAATGTGTCAAAGAGACACCAACAATGAGCAGAAAACAGCTGAAGGCCACCAATGGGTCTTCAACACAGCGAGAAAATCCCGCACCCGGAAGCGGGGTTGAGCTGGCCCCTTAACAAACATGTGTACTAGTTCAATGAAAATGGACGTCACACTAAACTCCAAAACATATAAATGAACTAAAATTAAAAAAAACATACAAGATTAACAAAACCAGAGGCTTAAAACCCTCTGTCACTGGCGTTCAAGATTGAAATTCTTAACTAAAAGAGAAATTAACTCATCATTACCAAAATCTGGACCTCCAGACAAGTGAATAGTTCTAGAAATAGCTGATCGATAACCTTTTATGGTAGAGGGAGATAAACCTTTCTCCTCAAAAAGGTGGATCAGGAAGTCTGCTAATTGCTGTACAGAGATTTGGAAAGTATCAACTTCCTTCTCACTACACCAACTACTGGAGATTGTCAGCTTGGTATCATAGACGATGTTAGTGGACTCTCTGCTCAGGAGAGGTGTCTGGCTGCGCATTCAGAAAAAAAACCTATCTCCTTGAAGCTATCCCTGAGAGAAGCCACGCGTATAGATGTAGCTTCTCTGGATTGGGATGAAGAATATTGCCCTGAACTAGGAAAGAAGATTGTGTCTAACTGGTTTAACCAGTGGACGAGCACAAGACAGTTGATGGAGATCTGGAAACAAGGCTTGTTTAGGCTTAGCTTGAGCAATTAGAATGGAAGCCCTTGCTCTGCTAAAATCTTCCGAAGAATTGCCAACAAGAATCTGAAAGGAGGGAAGGCGTAAGCAAAAATTCACTCCCAAGGAACACACATGGCGTCTACTACGTAGGCTTTCGCATCTGGTACATGATACACGAACACTTGAAGTTTGTAATTCAGGCTTGTTGCAAACAGGTCTACATAAAGAGACCCTGACTGAAGGGCTATTGCATGAACAACTGATTGAAGAAGTTCCCTATCCTATTCCTATTGACTTGGGTAAGTGTTCTGGACAGAGCATCTGCTAAAACATTGAGTTTCCCTGGGACATGACGAACTACAATCTGTAGATGAAGATGATTGCAAGGAAGGAGTATTTCTCTTGCTAAAAGAAACAGCTCTTACAATGTAACATCAGGTTCCTCCTTCGTTTCGCAAATAAGCAATTGCCGTGGTGTTGTACGATGCTAGAACCAGAAATTTGTTCTGCAGAAGGGACTGAAAATGAGACAGTGCAAGAAGAACTGCCTTCATTTCTAGTATGTTGATGTGACCTTCCAGAGAGCCCCCTCCTCCCAATTGAGATTGGAGGCATCTGTGAACAGAGTCTGATTTGTTACTGGAGAGGAGAGAAGTTGGCCTCTCATAACGTTCGCTTGAAAAGTCCACCAAACCAGTTGATGAGACAAGTCCTGATGAATGATTGGAACTGGAAATTCCAAATTCTGCGTAGTTGGTTGCCAATGCTGATGAAGATAGAATTGAAGAGGTCGGATGAGCAGGCGACCAAGAGGAACAACGTCCGCTAGAGAATTCAAAAAACCTAGCAGTTGTGAAAATTGGCGAGCAGTAACTGTTTCCTGAGAAAGAAAATTAACAAATGAATTTTTTAACAAAGGTTCTGAAACTTTTCTTATGGAGGTAGAACTAATACCTGGTGAGTAAGGTAGTGTTCGCCTAGGAAAATAAAGTCCTGCGAAGGAATTAAGTCTGACTTTTTTCAAGAGTTGAGAAACCC